ACCTCTGTGCCAGGCACTAAGAATTTTATATGATTTAATTTACTTAGTCCTTCCAGCAACCCGGTGACTAAACAGAGTGATGGAGAGGTTAAGTATCTTCCCAAGGTGTAGTGATATTAGGTGACACAGGTTGGTTCTGAACCCAGAGTGAGCCCATGTAACCGCTGCCCCTTGTTGCTATTGAGCTCATGGAAATGATTGCAAACCATTGAGAAGTCTTCATGGTATTCCCAAGACTATCAGGTGCTCTTGTCTTGTTTAACCACATCCTCTGGTATTAATACTACCAAGTTGTGCTTAAATCTAAAGAGTGATGGTTAACCTGCATTAAATACAGTCACCTTTTGACGTTGAAAGAGTATTCTCTTTTGATATATGACATGTGTTTAGGGTGCTGGAGTTTGTGCTAGAGCATGCTGTCTTTCTAATTACTAAAGATACTAAAGTCTTTTTTTTTTTTTAAGCTTACCAGCTATGTAGGGCCCCAGGTGGCCCAGAGGGCACTAATTTCCATTGGAGATTCCAGTTCTGCAGTAAATCAGTAAACCTTATCACCCTTCTGATTACCAACATCATATCAACCTGAGATAAATTTTTAACTTAAGTTTGTTCTAAATACCACCTGAATTGCTTCCTAAAATGAACCGTAAATGGAAAAATTTAACTTGTGGCTTATACTTTGTCATTCACATTCCTCAAGGAACTGTGTGTTGCTGCTTCACCATTGAAGTTGATATGTCAAACAAATTATAAACTAAATTAGGAGCTGTTTTAAGTAATGTTTAGAATCATTGTAGATAGATGATATGTCCTTTGACAACTTAGTGCAATGTAATGTTAGGAAAAAAATGCTGGGCGCGGTGGCTCACACCTGTAATCCCAGCACTTTGGGAGGCCGAGGCGGGCGGATCATGAGGTCAGGAGATCGAGACCATCGTGGCTAACACGGCGAAACCTCGTCTCTACTAAAAATACAAAAAATTAGCTGGGTGTGGTGGCGGGCGCCTGTAGTCCCAGCTACTCGGGAGACTGAGGCATGAGAATGGCGTGAACCCGGGAGGCGGAGCTTGCAGTGAGCCGAGATCGCGCCACTGCACTCCAGCCTGGGCGACAGAGCAAGACTCCGTCTCAAAAAAAAACCAAAAAAAAAAAACAAGCATGCGTTGAATTGACAAAGTGCAAGCTTTATTGAAGACACAGGTTACTAATCTGTTTCTCACACTAAACACTGTTTTTGTTATAATTAGTGCTTTTCAGAGTCCTTTGAAAATATTAAATATGTAGAGCTTGAATTTTTAAAAAAACTTTAAATATCTAATCGAGTGCTGTTCTTCCTTTTAAACGTAGACCTATTTGAAATTATTTAAACCCAATTTAAAATTAATTGGACAGTCATAGATTGTCATGTCATTGAGATTCAAAATGAGTACCTTAGTACATTGTGTCTTTGTTAATACTCTATAGTTTGAACTCGGGGTCCATGCCAGAGTATTTATAGGTGAGATTGTTATGAGGTCTTTCAGGTTCTGCCAGAGATTCAGTTCTCTTGGCCAAATGCCAAGATAGTCTCAAATTTTTACTGTTAATTTTTTTTACTGTAATGGATTGTATATATCAAAAATCCTCTCTAAAACATACAGGTTAGAAGTCTTTCCTTGGCTGTTGCTTGAAAGAAAAAGTCTGTTATCCCTTAGATTAATATAATTATTTTTTATTCTAGCAGTAGCTAATTATGGACGTGTGTGTGTATGTATGTGTATGTCAAACCATGCTACTTGAGGGATTCTCTTCCTTTTAGGTAAAGTTAGAAATTATTCACCTAGTGTATTAATATTTATTGAGTACCAACAGTATGCATAGAGTAATACCTTTATATGGGAAAAAAAGTGTTGGAGAAAAACGGTTTGTGGATCTTTTATTTATTTCATGTGTATTTTAATGTTGCTGAATATCTGGACCAGTCTCAAAGTTCAAAATTGAATTAATTGCACAGTTGAAAACATGTTAAATATTAAAAAAGTACTATTCAACTTAAAGTATTAGATGGTAGCACAGATAATGAGAATCAGAGCCTCTTGTTTCCTTAAACTGTTTTTGGTTGAGTATGTTTGAAAAGCTGCATTAAAAATCCCTTTCAGGCTTCTAGGACATTACTTAACTGCACTGAAGGAATAAATTTACAGTATCCTAGAAACCTTGAAGAATGAATGTGGCTTTCAGAGTTGTCTAGCATAATCCAAATAATAGTAGCATGATCACCAAAAGGTATAAAATGGATGAAACCTATCTTTGATTTTAAAAGGCTTACTGTTCTTGTAAGTTTATTTCTTGAAGATAATATCGCTTAGTTTAACTCTGCTAAAAGCTGAACCGTTATTGTACAAGATGTATAGGCTTTGGCATATGTTTATCTTTTTTTTTTCTTTTTTTTTTCCTTTTTGAGACAGCTCTCACTTTGTTGCCCAGGCTGGTCTCGAACTCCTGGGTTCAAGCCATCCTCCCACCTCAGCTTCCCAGGTAGCTGGGACTACAGGCATGAGCCACAGGCCTTGTTTATATCTTTAAGATAAGGTTAGATCTAAATTGAGCCTTTATTTGATGTCAGACTGATCTGCATCAGCACCATATGTTATGTTTACTTTTTTTTTCTTTCAATGAAAATGGGCCTGAGGAGATAGGTTTGTACGCAGTACATTAACTGGCATTTAAGATGACTATCTCTTCAAGGCTATGGTTTTTTTGTTTTGTTTTGTTTTGTTTTGTTTTGAGATGGAGTCTCTCTCTGTCATCCAGGCAGGAGGGCAGTGGTGTGATCTCGGCTCACTGCAGCCTCTACCTTCTGGGTTCAAGTGATTGTTCTGCCTCAGCCTCCTGAGTAGCTGGGATTACAGGTGCCTGCCACCATGCCCAGCTCATTTTTGTATTTTTAGTAGAGATGGGGTTTCGTCATGTTGGCCAGGCTGGTCTTGAACTCCTGACCCTCAGGTGATCCTCCCCAGTTGGCTACCCGAAGTGCTGGGACTACAGGTGTGAGCCACTGCACCCGGCCAAGGCTATGGTTTTAATCTAGGGTTATGAAACTCATTTTTTGTGCAGTGGGCATATGCGATTTCCATAGGATAAACATTTCCCTCAACCAGCTAGGGGGTAAAAACACTTCTGAGAAATTTAAGGACAGTAACATAATGTCGTTAAAACCAGTGTCTCAAGAAGTATGCTATATTAATGAAACAATAAAATAACAGTAATCACAGATATGTTAGTGCAAGCAATGGATTAAGCAGGATAACCTAACTCCAGGTAATATACATGAAATTATTGTTTTAAGCTCCCGTACCTCTTTAAATTTATTCTTGTAATTTCTTTCCCCTCCCTCACCAAGGGAAGTGCTCACCTTTTTAGATGTAATGGAAGAGGAGAGTGCTGATGTGAGTGACTCAGTCTGTTTAACTCTGCTCCCATGGCTGTTTGTTGGTTACCTGCTAGAGGAGGTGGAACTCAAACAATGTAAAAGCAATCAGGTTGGAGAGGTACTGAGTTTTTAGTATCATGGGAACTTGGTGTATGTCTTCATCACCATCAGCAGTGTTTCTGTGCAGTTCTTCCACAATGGCTCAGCTCATCCCTAGCAAGGACAGCATTTCCGTTTTCCTTTTCCATACAGTATCCTCATCTATCATCTTTTGATTTGCTAGAATGACTAAATGCTATAGCAGAAAGATGGGTTTACTCATCCTGCTGGAGAAGATAGTTAGGCTTACTTGCTATATCTAAGGAAGCATATTTGGAAGTCAGGGCCTCCCCAGGAACTTTTAAGAACACTCCACTTTTACGCCCTAAGAAGTTAGAGTGAGCAGTTGTTAGCTACATTGTGACTTCTCTTCTCATTTATCTTAATACATGACAAAAAAAATTCTAAAAGATCAGCCTTTTAATATCTAAGGAAGTGATTGGAAAAGGGCAATGGTCAGAACTCAAATGGAGTTGTGATTGGGCATAAGTGCCTTGGATGAGTGGAATGCTTCATTGCCTGAGCTGCACAAATGGGAGGTAGAAAGGGATTTGCAATGAAGTTGATGCATTGTTCGTATTCCTTATTTCCACAGCCAACTTTTTTTTTTCTTTTTTTTTTGAGGTGGAGTCTCGCTCTGTCTCCCAGGCTGGAGTGCAGTGGCGCAATCTCCGCTCACTGCAAGCTCCACCTCCTGGGTTCACGCCATTCTCCTGCCTCAGCTTCCCAAGTAGCTGAGACTACAGGCGCCCGCCACCACGCCCGGCTAATTTTTTTGTATTTTTAGTAGAGATGGGGTTTCACCATATTAGCCAGGATGGTCTTGATCTCCTGACCTCGTGATGTGCCTGCCTTGGCCTCCCAAAGTGCTGGAATTACGGGCATGAGCCACTGCGCCTGGCCTTCCACAGCCAACTTTTTAAAGGTAAAAACAGTATACCTCTTACTTTGCCTGTCTTTTATTGTTTTTTTTTTTTTCTTTTGAGACAGAGTTTTTTTACTATTGTTGCCCAGGCTGAAGTGCAATGGCGCGATTCTCAGCTCACCACAACCTCTGCCTCCCGGGTTCAAGCTATTCTCCTGCTTCAGCCTTCCTATCTGGGATTACAGGCATACGCCACCACGCCTGACTCATTTTGTATTTTTAGTAGAGATGGGGTTTCTCCATGTTGGTCAGGCTGGTCTCGATCTCCCAACCTTAGGTGATCCACCTGCCTCGGCGTCCCAAAGTGCTGGGATTACAGGCGTGAGCCATCGCACGTGGCCTTCTTTTACAGTTTTTATTGTCAGAGTTGAGTTCACTTTCCTAAGGGAAAGTAGAATTTTTTTTGAAACGGAGTCTCGCATTGTCGCCAGGCTAGAGTGTAGTGGCATGATCTCTGCTCAGTGCAACCTCCGACTCCCTGGTTCAAGTGATTTTCCTGCCTCAACTTCCCGAGTGGCTGGGATTACAGGCATGTGCCACCATGCCCAGCTAATTTTTTGTATTTTTAGTAGAGATGGGGTTTCACCATTTTGGCCAGAATGGGAAGGTAGAATTTTTAAGGTGAATTCTATCTGATTGCTTAAAATTTTAGCTTTCAACTGGAGGTTGCACTAAGAGGAATTTTTTTCTTTCTCCACAACTGTCTGCTTCTTAAATTTCAAATAAAGTTTTTCAAAATAGAAGTGTGACAAACCTTACTCAACATTTAATAATTGGAAGCTATTATTTATTAGAGTAAAGTACACGTTATCAGTGAATTAGAAATTCATTACTTTAAAAATACTTGTTGTTTTGCAAAACTAGATCAGTGATTTTCGTATTAGAATGTTTGTTTTTTTTTTAAGTGGGCATCACATTTATTTCAGTTAAAAACGCTGAAAGTAATACATCCTTTACTTCATCTGTCATGGTGAATGTTGATAATGATAAAATCGTAGTTCTCTAAGCACTTTGCCATCACTAAATACCTTAGTAAAACATGTGATAGACCGAGGGTCTGGTCACTAGCCACAAAAAGGCTGTCATAGCAGAATATAATAGGGAAGGAACATTTTATGCCTGAATAAGAATGGTGTATTTGCTTGAGATAGTAATAACCTCTGAGAAGCTGATTAATTGGTAATCACTTAAGTTAGATGATTTTATATTGTTTGATGTCTTATAATCTAAATGTCCCTGTGCTCTTTTAGAGTGTCTGCCTTGACCAATCAGCATTTCAGGAGGGATTATGACTATCAGTTAAGTATTTTGAAGAGAGAACCCCTGCTTTGTGTCACACCTGAATGTAACAGAACATACTTCTTGGGGCTGTTTAATTTGGGCTCAAAGGGAAGAGTGCCATCTACTGAATGGCCAGCATCAAGTTGAGCAGCTCCTGTTTTCCTTACAGAACTCTCAGCCAGTTCCTGGAGAAACCAGGCCCAGCTTCATTTGGAGGATTTGACAGGATCTTAATACCAAGTGGAATTGTTGCCTGCTTAATTTTAATTATGCTTCCCAGCAGGAGGCCTAAACACATGATGATGAACTAATTCAGTACTTGTTGGAATGCATGGGAAAAGAGAAACCTTAAGAAGTTGTTGGGTCTTATATTAAAAACAGCCGCGTAGTGGTGAAATTAAGTGGTAAAGAAAATTATTTTAATGAGAGAAGTCTTTCAATAGCAGGTCTGGTTGGTTATTGATGGCTCCTGCAGACAATAATGATGTTCAAATCTGCTTGGACTTAGAATCAGCAAACAAACCATTTGCCTAACTGGAGGTAAGGATTTTAAGAATACTTGAATACTTCGATTTTTTTTCTCCTGCGCTTTTTGTCTCATTTTCTAAGGCAATGATTCCTACTTGAGTAAATTCACTGTTTCAAAGTAGATTTTGTTGTTTTGGTGTATGGTAGTGGTTTCCTGGTTTTTGTTTGTTTTTTCTTTCCCTGTTTTCCAAAATCTTTCTGTAGTAGCAGCCATGGGTAGAACTGGAGGTAGTATGGCTGGGCGTGGTGGCTCACGCCTCTAATCCCAGCACTTTGGGAGGCCGAGGCTGGTGGATCACGAGGTCAAGAGATCGAGACCATCCTGGGCAACATGGTGAAACAATCTCTACTAAAAATACAAAAATTAGCTGAGCGTTGTGGCGCACATCTGTAGTCCCAGCTACTTGGGAGGCTGAGGCAGGAGAATCACTTGAACCGCGGAGGTTCTAGTGAGCCGAGATCGCGCCACTGCGCTCCAGCCTGGCGACAGAGCCAGTCTCCGTCTCAAAAAAAAAAAAGAACTAGAGGTAGTAGAACTAGTTATAGGTCAGTTGGAGGTTTAAGGTATCTGGAGTAGGCTTGTCAAAGCCAGACAAGAAAGAACTTTGAAAATATGAATTGAAAGGAAGCTTCGAAATTGTTGCCATAAAAATACACTTGATTGTTATATATTTGTATCTATTATATATAATTACTTAATTAGTAACTATTTTTATTAGCTTTTAAAACCTGCCAAGGATCATTTTAAGCACTCCACGTAAATTATCCAAAGTTTAGTGAAGTAACTTGCCCAAGATCATACTGTTAATAAAGGACAGAGCCAAGATTTGAGGTCAGGGCTAATACCCTTAAGCACTGTGCTATACTGCTGATTTATTTATGTTTATTTTTGTTGGCGGCTGCACAGAAGAGTTGAACCAAGATTAGAATGATATTTTTGCCTTGGCTGGAAAATACTGATGCTGGGGTTCTTGGTTTTTTTGTTATTGTTGTTGTTTTTAAGACAGTGGTAAAGTGGGTAAATAGGATTGAGATTTCACTAGAATCAGGACGTATACATGAGATGAACTTCCAAATATTTTCTATTTGATTTTGTCTATGTTAACTTTTGTTCCTTCTGCTATATTTAAAACCACAAGAAAAGTTTATTAGTGAAACATGAAGTGAATTGTTTCACATTGGGGCATGTGCTTAAAATATACCCTTCATGGGAGGAGTTACTGAAGAGTTTTTTGGCTGGGTTTATTTTTTGTAGGAGAGTGGGGATTTGTTTTTTATATATACAATATATGTATATTGCTTCCTCCTAAATATTTTTAGGTGGTAGTGCTTTTCAATATGGCAGTAATAATCCATGTCCACAGTACAATAAAATTAAACCATGTGCCAGCCTGAGGTCCTGGAGAAACCTCAACTTTTTGTACATACCAAGTACGTTCTGTATACTGAATAAGTACCATACCTTACATGTATGTACTAAAACTTCATTGAATCCATGTATTCTTTAAATTAAGGGATATTTAATACCTGACTATTATTGTGAGTAATGGTCTAGTTTGTTAACACGTTTTGACCATAAAAGGTATCTTGTTTAAAAAGGTTGGGGATCATTGTTTTGGTATAACCAGAAGCTTCTAAAATTGCAGTTCAGTGATGATTGTGCTTTGTATTCTTAACCCAGTCACCCTTAGGGCTTCTGCCCTTCTCCTTTATCTGTAAGGAATTATACTTTAATATGTATCTTCCAGAAAATCCCCATAGGCTGAGATACATCACTCGTTGAGACTGTGACTTTCCAGTCAAACATAGGAATGGTCAGCAATAACTAAGACAGTGCAAAAGATGTTACTTGCCACTGTGTGATGAATGCCAGATGACAGATACAGAAAACAAATGCTACAGGTCAACTGGTCAAGAAAAGAGATGGAGTGGGCTGGGCGCGGTGGCTCACACCTGTAATCCCAGCACTTTGGGAGGCCGAGGTGGGCGAATCCCTCAAGGTCAGGAGTTCAAGACTAGCATGGCCAACATGGTGAAACCCCATCTCTACTAAAAATACAAAAATTAGCCAGGCATGGTGGCAGGTGCCTGTAATCCCAGCTACTTGGGAGGAGGCTGAGGCAGGAGAATTGCTTGAACCTGGGAGGTGGAGGTTGCAGTGAGCTGAGATCATGCCATTGCACTCCAGCCTGGGTGACAAGAGTGAGGCTTCATCTCAAAAAAAAAAAAAAAAGAAGAAAAGAGATGGAGTGGTCAGAAAAGGCCTCACAGGAAAGAACAAGGATGGACCTTGAAGGAGTTAAGATTTCATTAAATGGAGAAGATGGAAAGGATTTTGGCCAAAAATTACGTCCATGAAAATGATTCTTTTTTCTGTAGCACAATGGGAGATAGTTTATAATAGTGGTTCACAGTAGCTTGCCACTATAAGGCATTTAATGGCTACGGTGAAGACTTATTTGTAATGGTGTCAAGGACTGGCTCCCTAGGAAATACATTACAATATGGCAGGAGTGAGGGGAGGGGATGGAGTGGCGGTGGTGGTCACATGTAGTCTTTTAACAGTGCTCCCTCTTAACTCATGAAAATTACTGGTTTTATAGGAATATCCGTATACTTCTGTTTTGAAGGCAGTAATGCTTAGGAAAGTTAGTATTAACAGAAAGACTTTAGGAATTCTCATCATTCCCAACACTAGACAAGGAAGGCCTCATTTTGGGGAAGAGGTGTACATTTTTAAAAATCTGTATTTGTCTATCATTTACTTTGTTTGCCTAATGCTAGAGCATATTCTGTCAATGTCTGTTATATAACTTTTAAATCTAATATGTGGATGATGGATGGATTGAGTTGATATGAGATATGACCATTTTACTTAAAATTTTTGTAAAATAACATTGTCTGTTTTCAGATTTTAGAAGGTTTGTTCCAAAGTGTCTCAGTTCTCTCTCTCAGACTTGTCATGTTTATCCCTCACTATTTGAAAAATACTTAGTGTAACTCTATTCAAGACATTTTGAACAAGTAACTTTCTGTTTTCTTTAGTTTTCTTTTATATAAAATACGGATTCATCTGTGCTTGAAGGTGCTGTGATTATGCTTCTGAAGAAGCTGAGTTCACCAGTTTGTAGGTTTACTTGGAGAGTGACCAAGAAACCTGATTGTACTGTGTGAAGATCCTGGGAATGGGGCTAATAGAAGATTGAAGACCATGAAAGTCCTTGGCTCTATGTATATGTGGCATTTAAGAGAAGGACATCATTACCCCAGGAGCTTGTCAACTCCCAGCGTTTGTTTCAGCTGTCCGGAAGCTAAGAGGCTTTGGCAAAGGACAGATTCTTTCCAAAATACATGAAATGAGCAGGAATAGCAACTTTTCCTAAAGCAAACTGTAGAAACATTGTGTATCTTTTTCCATAAATGCTTTCCACTCTCATCTGAAAGTTAGATGTAGTAATACTAGTTCCTCATAAATATTTGTTTGTGACCTGTTTAGCCCTTATTTTTTTGAGCAACTCAGTGCATCCTTTATTCATTTATTCATTCAACAAATATTTATTGAGCAATTATTATGTGTCAGGTTCTGTTCTAAGTGCTGGGAATTTGACAGTACGCAAAACAGACAAAACCTCCTGCCCTAATGGGGTTTATATTCTTGGGAGTAAATAGAAATAAAGTATATGTCATGTTAGTGATAAATGTTATGGAGCAACATAGAGCAGGGAAGGAAGACTAAGGGAGTGTTTGGGGGTAATTGCAGACTTAAATAGCAACCAGGAAAGGTCCTCACAGAGAAGGAGACCTGTGGGCAAAAACTTGAAGAAGGTGAGAGCGCATGCATGTGGATGTCTGGGGGGAAGAACATTGCAGGCAGAGAAAGCAAGAAACCAAAGGCCCCGAGGCCCAAGCGTAACTGGCATGGATGAAGCAGAATTGAGGTGGGGGTAATGGGAATCCACTGGATAGCTTCAGACAGAGATGTGGCACAATCTGACGTATGTTTTAAAGGTTTTCTTTTGGCTGTGTTTTGAGACTAGACCATAGTGAGCAAGTGTAGATACAGGGAGACTACTTAGGAGGTCAATGGAATACTCTTGGTGAGAGATGTATCTGGTAGAGGTGGTGAGAATTTATTGGATTCTGGATATATTTTAAAGATAGAATCAATAGGGTTTTCTAACTAGAATATGGGGGTATATGTTGAGAGAGAGGAATCAAACTTGACACCAAGGTTTTGGGCCTAGGCAAAACTCTAAGGAGGAGCAGTTTGGAGAATGGGAGAGAGTAAGAGTTCAGTTTGAGTCATTCATTTGAAATGTCTATTAGACATCTATTTGGAAGTTGCTATGAGGAGAGATCAGTGCATAATTATAGGCTGACTATATAAACTTGGGAGTTGTCATTTTCCTTCTCTCTTTTTTTTTTTTTTCTTGAGATGGAGTCTCGCTTTGTTGCCCAGGCTGGAGTGCAGTGGCGCCATCTCAGCTCACTGCAAGCTCTGCCTCCCGGGTTCACGCCATTATCCTGCCTCAGCCTCCCGAGTAGCTGCAACTACAGGCACCTGCCGCCATGCCCGGCTAATTTTTTTTTCTTGTACTTTTAGTAGAGACGGGGTTTCACTGTGTTGGCCAGGATGGTCTCGATCTCCTGACCTCGTGATCTGCCCACCTCGGCCTCCCAAAGTGCTGGGATTACAGGTGTGAGCCACTGTGCCCGGCCCCTTCTCCATTTTTTAAATGGATGCATATTTAATCCCTTTGATGACTAGAATAAGCTTTGCTCTAATACGGGTTTGAGGTATTTCTATATATCTTTATGCTTTGAAGGGATTTAATTTATCTTATAAAACCTTGAATTTACTTTAACTGCTAAGGACACTTAGTCCTAAAGGAAACCGTTTTCTCTAGGGATTGAACAATTTTATTTTAATCAAAATGTGAAAATAAAAATAGTGTTGTTACTGCCCTTTAAAAATGGAACAATCTGGCTGTTCCTCAGAGTTAACGTGGTTA